AGCAGCAAAGCCCTGCCAGGAGCAGCCCAGCCTTTCCAAGGCTCCCAGCGCTCCGAGCAGCCCCAGCACCCTGGGCCGGATTGGAGCCCTCCTTAGCACCGTGTCCCAGCGCACTTACCAGCAAACAGCCCAAAGCCTCCAGCGCGCCAAAACCAAGGGGCAAGAGCTGGCCTCCTGGATCCCCATCGTGGTGAGTGCCACAAACCACCCGCCAAGGCTGCCCATTACCACGGGAGCTAATTGCTAGGGGGGAGGTTAATAAAACACCCACTTTCTGCAGCATCCTGAGCCACAGGCATAGACCGAGCCCACGCACCCACTGCATCCATAGCAGGAGCCAGCGCAGCTCTGCCCTTCCCCAGCGTGCGGGGAAGAGCCCAGCTCTGAGACAGTCATTGCTGTTTTGAAAGTATCCTCCGTGCTAAGCTGGAAGAACTGAGCGGACCCATTGCTTCTGGTGCTTGCAGGCAGGGTCCCGGGCTCCAGGGAGGATCTGCTCCCTGCAATCTCCATGCCATCAGCATACTCCCATACATAATTTTTGCCATGTTAGCAGACTAAGTTATTTTTAGCTGGCTCCAAATGTATATCACTGATTTATGGCCTTGCCATAATCCTCCCCAAAGCAGAAATCCCCGCCAGCAGCCTGATAGAATCAGGAGCAGAGATGCCCCTTGCCTTGCGGCTCCCACTGCATTTGCTGGGATGGGAACCCCTTTCCTTGACCTCTGCCAGAATCCCAGACCTCCCTGCTGCCTTGAGGACTTCTTCCCACATTCATCTCCGCCCTGTTCAGCCCCTTGGCCTGCCAGGGGATGCCTGGGGACTGCTAAATCCTCACTATGACACATGGAGCAGGACAGGGCAAACAGGCTGAGAGGAGACGCATCCTCCTGCTGGGCTCCACTGCGGTGTGCAGGGTGGCACATGCATTGGCACCACACTGGCAGCGGGGTTTGCCCCAGGGGGTGCCAGGCAAGGCCTCCTTGAGTGCAACCTCATGCAAGCCCTGGGGCAGCTCCACCTTTGGAGTCGGAACAAGCGGGGCTGCCGCGTGACGTGCGCTCGCCTGGTGGCTGCAGGGCCGCGTGGAACGGGACGGTGCCCGGACGGCCCTGAGGCCGCGGGGTGTCAGCGCTGCCTCTCGCTCCCCGTTGCAGGGCAGCTTGGTGAGGCCGAGTGCAGCCCCGGCGCCGCTCACCCGCTCGCAGGGCCACAGTGCTCCGGCCGGCTGCCCCAGCCGCAGGCAGAGCCAGGCGCCAGCGCAGGAGCAGGAGAAAGCGGAGAGGAAGGAGGAGGAAAACGTCACCAATGAGGTACGGGGTGGAGGGGCAACCTGCCCTGCTGCGCTGGGGGGTGTCCCAAAGCCCCCTCCCAAGCTCACAAGGGGGACTGGGACCCACATGCCCTTGGGGGCCAGGCTCACACCACCATATGCCGTGGGGACCAGAGGCTCAGAGCTGAACATGAAGCCCATGGTCCCATGGTGACCAAGCCATGACAGGCCTGGTCACCTTCCCTTGCTCTGTTGTCCAAGGGAAAAGCCAAACGGCTTTTCTGCCCACCAGCTCTCTTCCAAGGGGGAACACAAGCTGGGGGACTGAGTCAATGGGACAGAGGACCTGGAAAAAGACTCCGCTGCACAGCTGGGGGCTGCCGACAGCCTCTGTGTGAGGCAGGATGGAGATGCCTGGATTCCCTGAATCCGCGGAGCCTGTTGCAGTGCAGAGCCCGGCAGAGGCGGGAACGTTCCCTTCGCGGCGGCTCTGCGGGGCCGTGGGGACGGGAAGCTGCTGCAGGAGGTCGGGGCCCTGCCCTGGGAGAGGCCGAGCGGCAGAAACGCCGTGCGGGGATGTGCAGCCCCATCCATGGAGCCTGTGAGCGGGAAGCAGGGAACCGCCTCAGGGCAAAGGGCCGCAGGGGCTCTTGCAAAGCCAAGGACTGTGATCCTGTAGGGTCAGCTCAAGCTGCTGAGGGGCTGCAGGGGATGCAGAGAGCTCAGGGCTGCGTTTGTCTGGACTGTGACGGACACCAAGCAGAGTGTCTGAGGTCCTTTCTCTTTGCAGGCAGGGGAAGGTCCCAGGCTGGTGGGCAGCGTGGCTCAAAACCTACAAACCGCCTACGTTTCTGGCATCTCCAGCGTGAAGAAAGTCCCTGCGGTAGCTTGGGATGCCGCGGAGGGTTTGATCCTGTTCACCCCACGCAGGCTTTCCAAGGCCATGGAGACTGTGGATGCTCTCGGGGGAACCCTGGTCAGTGCCCCCAAGCATCTGCTGGGCACCCTGTACAGCTACGTGCCGGTGAGTTTGTGCCCTGCGCTTTGTCGAGACCCCCAGGAAGGGTGTGTAAGGTGCCCATGGCCAGGCCAGGTCCTGTTCATCTCCGACGAAATCCCCACTTCTTTCCCTTCTTGAGCAGCTTCCTCATATCGCACCCCTCCATATCGGGCAGTGCCAGACAGCAGGGAACTACCCGGAGCAGGGCATGGGGGATGTGGCTGGGACACCTCAATCCCGACCTTCTCCCAAGCACCCCCCTCCTCAGCCTCAAAAGCAGTGACAGAGAGTCCTCGCTGGCCCCACAGCAGGGAGCGGGGTCAGGCAGCTCATCCTAAGCTCATCCTCACACAGCTCATCCTAACGCCCCTCGTCACACGCACCTGCCCGTCCCCGGCAGACATCGCGGGGCCGCTCAGTGCCTTTTGCACAGGCAGTCGCAGCTGAGAGAGACAGTTTGTGCTCAAGTCTGCAGAGGCAAAAGTTCAGGCTGAGTCCATGTCCCCGTCTTCCTCTCTCCTCCCTTGGGTCTTACAGATTTTGTGGGACTGAACTTAAYGGTTGGATTTTTTGGCTTGGAGACTTGGATGATCCAGGGACAGCTGGTTTGGGGCTGTGTTGTTTTGAGGGTCTGAGCTGGTTTGCATCTCCCAAGGGAGGAACAGGGGCTTCTCCTCCACCTGCAGCCCCCCTGGGAGCAGGGATGCAACGAGCTGAGGTGCTCACCCAGACTCCCTTCAGCTCCGCAGGCAGTCGGTGAAGGAGGACGAACCGGCTCGCGGGAGCAAACCCAGCAAACCAGAGCAGAAGGAGGAGGATGCCAAGCCGGCCTCTCCCTCCTCCGAGGAGAAATCCCAGCTGAAAGGAGACTGGAGGATGTACCGCGGCCACCACCCCTTCTCCTACCTGGGCCTCGAAGACCCCCTCTTCATCCGCCACAACCTGTATCGGAGCCCCGAGCCCGAGGGCCTTCTCCCTCGCAAATCCGCCTTCACCCCGTACAGCAGGCGGGTGAGCGAGGGCTCCTACCGCTTCCATCCTGAGGCCGTGTATTCCCGGGCCTATTACTCCAACCTCTACGGCAGCCCCTACAAGAAGGAGTGAGGCRGCGCGGGCAGGCACGAGGCAGCGCTCTCAGCCACGCCAGCTCGCTCCTCTTCGTGCTTTGCCGGCCACAAACCACTGCCCTCAGCATCTGCCCTCGCCAGCTACCCCCACAYGCGGCTCTGTCCCCCCAGCCCCGCAGGGACACAGGGAAGAGAGGGCGCTGGAACYGGGCGTGAAGCCGAAGGGAAAGGGGCTGTGTTGGCCCTGGGGCGGGTGCCTCAGGGGACCTGGCAGAAGCTGGAATTAAATGGTTGTGTCCTCTCTTCCAGACAAAGGAAAGGCACCAAGCTAGCTAGTCCTGCTGACAATTTGCAGTAGCCAAATCAGAAATATAAAGACTGGTCTATTCTGCTTCTACTAGAAGAGTCATCAGGGCTCTCAAGCATATACTGTAAGTCTCCTCTAGCCTTGGTTCAAGCAAGCAAATTTTATGTCTTTAAAAAGGCAGCCATCCACCCAGGTACCCCTGAGACTGTAATAAAACCTGAGGGGCACTTTGTCCACAAACTACCCTCTCTTCCCACATACCCAACAGACACAGGAGAGAATCTCCTTTCTGCTCTCGGGATGGTGACAGGGGTAGGTGACAAGTTGTGCAGTGGGAATTTACTGCCTTGGGGAGTGCAGTGGGGCCAGAGAGGAGAGACTAAAGGCAGCAAGAAGTTGTGAGAGGAAGAGAGTAGGTGGGGAGGATACTAGAAATGAGAAGGAGATGTGGAAAGACTGGGGAGGCCTGAAAAAAAGAAGGAAAAGAAATAAGCCTGGGCTGGCATCAGGCCCCCTGGTTCTTGGCAAGCAGAGATTGTAGCAGAGAACATCACTGTGAGAGATAAGCGAGGWCAGCAAAGCCATCAAGTGCCAAGCAAGGTCAGACTGGTTCCTCACCCTCTTCCATCTTCCATCCCACCTTGCAGAGTCTGTCTCTGGCCCCACTTTGCTCTTCCCAAGCTTCTCTGGGCACTGTGCTTGACAGACCCCAGTGACAGGCAAGGTTCACAAACAGGAATGCCCCAGGGATCAGGCTCCTCATCCCCCAAGAATGATGGTAGGGCCCTGGAGTCATGAAGAAAACTTGTGACCATGTGTGGAGCTCCTGGAGCCCCTCTCTCCTGTCTGACTGCCTGATTTCCTGCAACGCACTCTTCTTCTTACTGCAGTAATAAACCTTCTTTATTTGCCATTTGCTCAGTTTCTTTGTGTGAATGAACCGGGGTGGCTGCAAGGGCACTAAGAGCCAAGAGCCAAGCAAAGTGAGAGCCAGCACGGAGGGAGGGGGGRCAGGAAACCTCACTGCCAAGTTGTTAAGGCAGGGACAGTGAGATCCTGAACRTGCATGGACAGGTTTGTTAGCTGCATCTACACAGGGACCCAGAAAGGAGCTGGAAATACCTGCAGAAGGCAGCCAGGCACAGAAGTGTCTGCCTTTTGTGGTGCCCAACAGGTGCTTTCCCACACCTTGAGTGCAAATTCAGTCGTGAAGAGCCTGGGGCTTTCTGCCCAAGGAGATTTATTCTGTTTACAGTGGGGCATTAATAGAGAAATCCCCATCTTCATTACACACACAGGCCTCTTCCTGCATGCCGCATTCCCAGGCATCCCAGAGGCCTTGCAAGGCACTGGTGAAGGCTTTGGGGGAGAGACAGGGAAAAATGCCTTCCGGTAGTATGGAGTTCAAGGATGGGCCCGCAGGTCTGTGAGAGTCCAGTGTTCCTTTTCCCAACTTCCCTTCATTTTCAGGAACAGCAGACATGGCTTCTACAGGAGGACTGGGAAAACCAGACACACTCTACAATACCACACGCTGGGAAAGAGCCACACAACCGATTTTCCCAYACACAGTCTATATGTTATTAGAACAAAGGAAACATCCGTTGGCAGCAGGACTCACAGTTCAAAAGCAGAGCAGTGCTCAGAAGCCCAGACAAGAGGCAGATGGGACTGGAGGCCACACAGTCCTCTTCGAGGTCCTTCAGGGTCGGGTGATATGGCAGGATTGGAGATTCCACAGCCGGCTCAGCATCGGCAGGCACTCAATGGAGAAAACCCCATCATGCCAGCTAGTTGGTTGGGAAAATGAACAGAAAAGTGAGAGCAGATCAAGGGTTACAGAAAAGGGGATGCTGACAAGTATCATGGACAGAAGTAACTGGAATCTTGCAGAAAGAGCATATCCAAGACCCAGGATGAGTGGAGGAGGCAGGCAGTACTGCCAGTCAGCAGTTTATTCTCTCTGCTCAGTATCAGTCAAGGCACTTTTCTGAAGAAGACACTGAGGAAGCTCCAATGCTGCCTGGAATAGCAGCAAAGGGACCTGGTGATTTCCAGCACTGCAGGAACGAAGGAGAAAGCAGGAAGCACCTAAAAATATTCTATGGCAAACAGGAAAGGTTCTGCCACAAAGCATGAACCACCATAGAGCCGAAAGCCTCACTGGGGGCCTACAGAGACSATGTACTGAATAATGACATGTCAGACATGCCTACGAAAATGCAGCTGGAGCCCCTGCCAAGGCAGCATCTCAGCAGTGAGCACRGGGACAGTGCTGGGTGGATTCACAGTTTCAAGCACTCCCATGATGGACATGGAGCCCAGGCCCACTGAGGGGGTCTTGTCTCCATCACTACAGAAAGGCTCTACAGTCCTCAGCTGCACTGGCTTAAATGTCTGGAAACCTAGATCCTGACGTTGGGATGTAATTGAGGAAAGCATCATTCTTATCAAATGTGCGTCCGTTTCCAAAGGCACCCAAGGAGGAGGCTCCATCCAGCCAGGCACTGCTGAGCCCAGCGGGCAGCAGCAGAGAAGCAACGTGCTGGCCCCAGCTCAGAGGGAGTCTGTTCTTTTCCGGGCAAACACAGCCGACATGCTCTTGACGATGCCCYGGATCCTGGTACCCCTTTTCAGCGCCAGCCTGTTGTCAGGGATACGCTCAGCCAGCCCGTGGAAGACCACGAGGGCCCCGTGATAGGCCTCAGCGGCCGAGACCTCATAGAAACCRCAGTCCAAAGAGAGGGCCAGGAGCCAGCCCTCCTCGCTGGACACCACCCTTTGGTGGTGCAGGTCCCGCTTGTTGCCCACGATGACGATGGGCACCTTCTCCTGGCTCATACCCTCCTTGGCGGCCTTGATGACCTGGATTTTGAGGGGCAGGATGTTGAAGCTGGCGCGGTCACAGATGCTGTAGACCAGGACAAAGCTGTCCACCCACTGGATTTGCTTTTCCTCGGAGGAGCCCTCATCTGCCTGGTCTTGGGGAAAGAGAAAAGGGACAGGAGCAAAACGGTAGGGTTAAACACAGAAACAACTCCCAGTGAATTGCCAAAGAGGATGTTAGTGCTGGAAAAGTTCCCTGGCCCACAGGGCTGGGATACAAACAGAAATATTGCCCTTGTTGGCCAATTTTAGGGTTTACCACCCTGAGCTACAAKAATCAGCAACTGCAGGGCAGACATTTCTGCTTTTATCACTACAGGGCAGGCTTGCTTGCCAGAGACTGAGCTGGCACCACAGGGCAGACGGATACTGAAGGAAAGGTTTATTTATCCAGCTCCCTCCCAGCCTGCAAGCAGGCAGGGTGCAGGAATCCTGCAGTGCTCTACAGTTCAGGGAGACACCAAAGMGCCACTCGGGCTCTGCAGCTCTGCGAGCAGGCCCAGGAACAGCCCCATGGCGCTGGCACAGGTTGGCACCCCCACGTTACTAAACAGATAGGAAAAAGAGGGAATTACCGTGTCAGCCCCCACTGTCCTCCTCAGTGAGAAAACTGCAGGCTCTGATGACTACTGCTGGACTGTGAACAGCGTCACCATCCTTTACTCCGCAGGCAAAAAGGGTTCAGTTACCTACAGACCCTCCACTGAGCAAGTCTGAAATCAAAGATTTGCTCAGCTGGTGCTTCCAGTAGGTCACTCTCCGTCTGTAATCKTTTAGGAAAGGGTAGGTTTTTCTCCTTGGAGTGAAACATGCAACACAAGCGGAGTCCTCTCACCTGTGAATATGGGACATCGCAGATGTGGAAGAGAATCTCTCGGCCGTCCACRGTCAGGTTGTGACTGTAGATGAATTCTGCCAAAAAGCAAGAACGAAGGTCATTGTCTTCATAGACTCCAGAGACTGTTCCCTCAACCAGGCCTTTTTCTCCCGRGGACAAGCCAGTCACATCCACTCTGATGACATTGCCTGTCCKGTCTATGTGGAGATTGAACACCACAAGCAAGGTCTAAGGGCCCTTTATGTGGAGCAGCAACCATGCAGAGCGTTTTGGTCCCTGGGACAGAATTACCTCCATCATAGGCACACCAAGCTGCCCAGGTAAGTCACCTCTGCCCCAGCGTTCAGTCCATGAAGAACACGGCCATCAGTTCCCCCCATCACAAACCATTGAAACCATAAGAAACATTTCTGAGGTCAAAAATAMGCCCTGGAAAAAAACAGCCCTTGAAGCCTTCTGGGGGCAGGTGAAGGCTGCAGAGAAACAGGGAGAGCAAACAACAAAATCCTGTATCCAGAATCAGGCTCGCTTTCTGATTTCCCAGTASCCAGTGCTGAGCTAGCAGGACTGCCCTCGCTCTGGCACTCACCCATGTCTCCGTATTCCCCGATAAAACGCCTGGTGAGGAAACGCACAGTCAAAGCTGCAAAGAGGAGAAGGAGAACCATGAAAACAACCCTGAGTATTAATGATCTCTATTGGAGGCCCAGGCAAGCTCAGCTTGGCCCCTGCCACAGTCAGGCACCATCCCCCTGGTAGATTCCCACTGTCAGGAATGTCCTCTGGATCTTCTGCCTTGTGTTTCCTTCCAGACATCGGCAGCTCTGCAGGCAGTGCGGGGCAGATGCAGAGYGGCACATGCAGGGACTGCAGTGCATCCAGGGACTGGGACACATCCAGGACTGCAGCACATCCAGGACTGCAGCTCGCAGYTCCATCCAGCTGCACAAGGGCTCTGCTCAGCTTCCCACCTCGGATCCCAGAAGTGCCCCATGAACCCAGTGCCAGTTGCCCCAAACCAGCCCCCTGAGCCRCATGCTTGGCCCATAGCAGCATCGCTTCCTCTGTCTCACTCCCGGCTCCACAACAGCACTTTTGACCTTCTTCCATGGGATAAAGGGAAAGCAGCCGCCGGCCACCCTCCCTCCCCGGGCTCCCCCGTCTCTCACCTGACTTGCCCACGTTGTCCGCCCCCATCACTAGCACGTTTGCCTCCGCTTTCAGGGCGGCGGGGCCGGGCGCCTCGAGCAGGGCCGGGTGCTGCTCCCTGCGCAGCGGGAGCCGCAGACCCATGTGGGCCAGCGCTGGCGCTCCCCGCTCCGCTCGGCGCAGCAGCCGCTTCCCACGGCRCCCAGGGCATCCGCGGGGACCGAACCATTCCCAGCAAGCGGAGGGGAGGGTGTGGCGGGAGCTACGGAAGATTAAAAATTTTGTTATCAGCCACATCAGCCCAAGCGCCGGCCCCTGGGCCYGGCCCCGCCACCCCCAGAGCGGGAGCGGGCGGCGCAGGGAGGGAACAGCCGAGGGCAGCGGCTGCTCCGCAACACACATCCCGATGGATACCGCCGCTCTGCAATGCACATCCCAGGGGACATCCCGAGGGCAGCGGATGCTCCGCAATGCACATTCCTGGGGACATCCTGAGGGATACAGCTGCTCTATGATGGACATCCCGAGGGACATCCCGAGGGCAGCGGGTGCTCCACAATGCACATCCCGATGGATACAGCTGCTCCACAATGCACATCCCAAGGGACATCCCAAGGGCAGCGGGTGCTCTGCAATGCACATTCGTGGGGCATCCCGAGGGACACAGCTACTCCACAACACACATCCCTGGGGACATCCCAAGGGCAGCGGCTGCTCCCCACGGCTTCCCACGGGGCCGCACCGCGCCCCGACGGGGCGGCTCGGGCCGAGCCCCGACCCCCGGCCCCCGCGGCCGCC